CTGATGCTAACCATTCGCATATTTCTAAGCTTTGGCCTCGGTGTAGTTTCTCTCGTCCTAAGTGATGGACATGCTAATCTCTTCCTATCGTTTGTGATAGGACTGCCTTCATCTACAAAGTATCGACTTCGTTTGACACCTTTGACTTCCTTAGTTGGGGATGAAGTAGCCTCTTCCTGGTTTACTTTATTCTTGCTAGATATCGGTCCTAGAGTTTTACGTTCAGCACCCAACACGCGAGCGGAGAACTGATCGTTTTGAATGAACTCTTCATGGATGCCAGCTGCGGCTAACAACTCGGTGACTATTGTAGATTCTTTAGGTTCGTCTTCGCCAAGAAGCATCTTTCGTAAATATTTGTCCGCCTTTCTGATATATTCAGCATGTTGTCTTAGGCGCCACGTAAACCGTTGTGGAGGGCAAATGCCTTGCGGTTTATACGTTCCAGAATCAAGTTCTTTTAGTGTTTTTAGCCGACGCGCCGTCTGTCTCTGCTCGAAAGCAGAAATTTGAACAATCTTCTTCCTCTTTACTTTCCTATGCTTCCTCCACGGTCTTTCCAGCCATACTTGTCGTCCCAAGAAGTTTACGCGGGAAAGATTTTGACGAAGAAACGGGTTTTCACCCTTTTGTGCTCGCAACTCACAATGTAACCAGTCTACATAGTGTTCGAAATCTGAGGGATCCAAGATTCGGGGTCTGAGCTTGGTAATTCTAATTGTGTCGAGGACATAGGCCGGCCATGATTCATAATCCTCGGGCTTCGGAACCTTAATCTGCTTCTCTTCTTTCACGTCGTCGGGACACGCCTCATCCAGCTTCTGCAGCCAGGACTTGAGTTTGTCATCAGCCATGTAAATAAGATTTGTGTCTGCGAATTTTAATATTTTTAACAATATGATCGTGCTTTGTCACGTGATAAATGATACATGGGACTTTGATTGGTAGATTCCAAATATAAAATCTTCCAGTGTATAGAGATTGAATATTTGGTGACAATCATTCCTATTACCTTGTTAAAGGTGTTCACCATCTTCCAATGTCTTATAAGTGACAAGTTAGTGAGTTATCGCTTGGAAGTTACTAAACAGAAAATGCTAAGTTCATTTCCAGAAGGATCGTTCCCTAAAGCCAAAATTGTTGAAAACTGCTTTAATTGGGAACATGTGTGTTATAAAACATATCAGCCGCAATACATGATACGTGTAATTGAGGCGCAGATAACATGATACTTCTCCCTCAACATTAATGAGCGTACTGTACCAAGTTTAACATACTCGTGCATGGTAACGAGAAAAGGAAAAGCCATTCATAATTATAATACCTTTAAGGCTTCCAGTTAGGGCACTTTTCATGAATCGACCCTTCTTTTTTATTAAAATTAAAAAGTCTCGAAAAAGATGTTATAGCTGACAGCATTAGTATCATGAAAAGGTGCGTTCAAGCAAGTATTGAAGCTGAAGGATTCATACTAAAAATTAAGGATTAATAACTTTATAGCCATAATGTTCGCCTTTCACTAAAAAATTTTATTTGTACTTATCTTTCAAGCTGTGCTCATCATGTCGCAAAAATCGATGCCATTACTTTTGCCGGGACCGCAATGGCTCCACTGCCTATACTCTGTTTTCTTCATAATCATATCTATTATCATCTGATATGCCAGTTTCATAGTTCTCGTCATTTCCAGTTATGCTTTGTGATACTGTTGTTCTCCCTCTTAGTCGTTCCTGCCATTCTTTGAGTTGCTCAATATTTTCTTGCCATTTAATGAGACTTTTCTCGTCCTGCTCCAATATAGCTTCCTCATCCTTAGTCAACCCCTTAAGTAACCCGATCAATTCTCGACGGCCGCTTATGTTTTCCGTAACAGAGTCTCGCTGTGACTGCAAAAGAGCAAAAAGTTCATCGACTTGTCTTAAGAAGACGTCGGATTCTGGTTTGTCTGCTATTTTGAGACCAAGGTTGCTTTAATAAATCTTTACATTTAGATTCACCTAAAAAACTTCTATGTCGTTACCTTCTATAACAGCATCTGACCATTTCTTCAACAAATCCGTTTCGCTGGAAGATATATTTTCGCGCAATTGACTAACCATTTGAGCAGTTCTAAGCATAATAGTCTTGTTGATATGATAAAAGTCGTTTCAATAACACACTCAAAATGTAGCAAAGCGCGACATCGTAACATTAGACAAAATATAAGCCTTCCTTACATAATTTGGGGAAAGATCAGAATAGAAAATGTCAACATTTTCATGAAATTTATCGTTCTCTGGTACAGCGGCAGATGAAGGGTAGGCGTTCGTATATCGTGATTGGGCATTATCGGATATTTGAGCTTGCCGCTGTGCTTTATCATCAGATCAAAACAAGGAAAAAATCGATCCAGCCAAATTCAGTTTCATACGCTATTCTTCACACACACATGTCACCGCCTGATTCAATACTTACAAGATAACCGTCCTTTTATCTCATATATCAATTCTCTCTCAAATACCTGCCTCTCCTCCCAAACATTGATCACACGCCTAATTCTTGTCTGCATGTCACTAGTTGCACGACGAAACGCGTGCTCAATTGCTTCGGGAACCACATTACGAAACGCCTCAATAAATTCTGGACCTTTGCGACGACTGTTCTGACAGACGTCGTTGCAAAGATAAATGAAAAGTAGCTTGCGCTTAGCCGAGGCTGTGAAGGAATCAACATACGTAGCTGTCATTGTTACACTCCGTGAAAAGAAGTGCCGAGAAATCGTCGCGAAATACCTTTGCGTAGTTCACGATTCCATATATCTACGCTTTTATGGACGTGACGTCTGTGGTAGATCAGCCCTGGAAATGAGAGCAATTACATCTTTAGAGGAATATGAGCCGCGATTCGTTGTTTAAAACACGAGCAGCCTTACAATGAGACAGTAATGATATCGAGTCTTGTGTGTCGGCGAGTTTGTTTAGTTTGGAAATGAGCACTTCTTCGGAATAGACTGACATTGTATAACTTGAAGAAAATAACGAACTTCTGGTTTTGCAAGGTTTATCA